TAAGCTGTTGGCATCCATTCTACTTCGTAGACTATCCCCAGTACGTGAATCATACTACCGTGAAGAACAAGCTGGTTTCCGTCCTGGCCGCGGATGCGTGGATCAAATCTTCACGCCCCGCCAACTCGACCATCGCCAAACTTATCACAGGCCCACTATCGTTGCATTCCTAGACATACGTGCCGCGTTTGACTCCGTTGATCGACCTGCTTTATGGCGTTGCTTACTAAAGAACGGGGTGCCAGAGAAATATACCATCTTACGAGCACTTTACCTTCATACATCCGACAGAGTGAGGGTATATGGCAAGCCTTCCTCGCAATTCGCTGTCAACAGCGGTGTGCGACAGGGCTGTCCTATGTCCCCATTCCTCTTCAACTTCGCAATCGAAGACGTTCTGTCGAATGCCCTAGAAGGTCTCCAACATTTTGGCCTAGAGCTTCTACCGGGTGAACGCGCGACCGACTTAGATTATGCTGATGATATCGCCTTACTTGGTGACGAATCTCAGGGTATGCAACTCATTCTGGATCGTTTGGCGGTTGAAGCATCTAAGTATGGCATGAGCTTCTCCCCATCGAAGTGTAAAGTACTGCTCAAGGATTGGCTTTCACCTGCACCCGTGCTCACTCTCGAAGGTGCACAACTTGAATAGGTAGATAGTTTCGTCTACCTTGGGAGCTGTGTTTCCGCTGACGGCACAATCAACAAAGAAGTTTCGCTTCGTATCGCTAAAGCTCGATCAGCATTTGTCAATCTGAGTCACTTGTGGCGTCGTCGCGACGTCTCATTCTCACTAAAGGGCCGAGTTTACAGCGCGTCAGTTCGCTCAGTATTGTTGTATGGGAGCGAGTCCTGGCCGATTCGCGTGGAAGACATGCGTCGTCTTTCTGCGTTCGATAACGGCTGCTTAAGGAGGATCGCTCGTGTTCGGTGGCAACATCGAGTTACCAGTAATGACCTTCGACGTCGCGTCTTAGGGAATGCAAGTATTTCCTTCAACAAACTGGTTTTGTTGCGCCAGTTAAGATGGCTCGGTCATGTCCTACGCATGGCACCTGAGCGTCTACCGCGTCGCGCTCTATTCGCTGGTCAAGGACCTGGCTGGAAGCGACCGCGTGGTGGTCAGCGTTCCACTTGGCGGCAGCACATGAAATCGCTGACGTCGCGTCTAGCCGCTGTCGGACCCGTACGTCTTCCAGGATGGGGACCCAAAGATGAGGAGTGCCAATGGCTTAGGACTCTTGAAGACATGGCCCGCAACCGGAATCAGTGGAAGAATTGTGTACAGTGTTGTGTTGATCCACATGTTTAATTCTACAAAAATTGAAAATGACAAAAAAAGAGAAAAACCGGCGTGTGACAAACAAACTAAAAATGTTTTGTTCTGTATTTTTGTCAAAATATTTCATTTTCTTGCGGCATATTAGCTGAAGTGTGTTGCCCACCTTCAACTAGCATGCCACGACGATTATGACGCAATGACTATCTATTATCCACTGATTTCCATGGCTTTGTTGGCTCTATGTCTAGTTACTAGACTGTTGAGATTACATACATGTTGTTAGTCGAATTTATTGATCAAGATTTTTGTGTTTCTGTCGTGATTCCACTATTCCTACCTCATTGGCTTCATCAGCTATTTGTGCTTTGTTCTTCCATTTTATACTTGTAAATGTTGGAGGAGATTTGTCGAAAAGAGTACTCTTGGCAAAATTGTGTTCTTGCACTTTATGGGCATAATTTACGAAGTCGCCTTGCGTGGTTACACTAAAAGACACCAATCTTCCGCGGTTCCGCGAAACGCAGAAAAATGGCGGAATTTGCCAACTGTGGCGAAAAGGAAAAATTTTCGCGGAATCGCGGAAAAAATGTGAGATCTCTAAAGTAGGCTGCTTTGAACTAGTTTTAATTGTTGTCAATATAGTTATATTTGGAAGAAATGCCAAAGCAGTCAGCTGGCTATTGGAACATTCCTCTGGAGTATCATCACTGCCATCGATCTACGAAGTCCGCTTGTCTCCAAAAGAAAGTGTCATCCATGCATCTATCCATTAGGCAACCATGTCCCATCTGTCTGCCCACGCTGTGCACCCATTCTACTGTCCACTATACAAACACTCTGCCCAAATGTACATTAAATCTGTTCGACGCCTGTTCCTTCATCCCTTTTATGTACCCTTCATCGGTACACACCGCCCTCATTACGGTCAGCCGGGAACTTGATGAATTGTCGCCTCTTGGGCGTTAAACAGCGGCCACGTAGTTGCATAGAACGCGGTGGCGCAATATAGGCGACCGTATTAATCCGTTGACAGACTGAAGTGGCAGTCATCTGTCAGTATAGTGGCGAGAACGGTGAGTTGTACCCACCTTGAGTACTTCGTGAAGATGCTGTTGTTTCAGTGATGAGCAGTTACTGTTGAGGTTTGTCATTGCTGTACTTTCAGCTTCCTTTGTATAGTACCGTAGTTCAGTCTCGGCTTCGTTTCGTTTGACCCATTACTCGAGAAACAAGCAAATCTGTTGCTCAACAGGTTTTATCTTTTGCAGATGCCATCTCATAAATGGAAACAGCATGTAGGAGGAAAGAGTACCCTGGACAAAATGAAGCAGTTTCATGGAGAGTACAAGATCGATAAGGCAGATAAAAAAACTAGTTTTGTTCATCGTGTGAAGTAACTGTGGATCCGTCTTGAAAAGCAACCATGGATGACCATATTCGCAGCTAGAAGCATCTTCAGAAGAAGGATCACAAGGAGGAGTAAGCAATTAAACTTGTTGCCAAGTGGGAACCAGCTCCGAAGAAAGCTCGACAAGCAAATATCGTTAGTTCCATCGCCGTTGCGAATGTAGCGCAGGAGGCCCGCGACACAGAGGTAGCTGACTTACTATTTGCTATAGTATCTGTTAATTTCCCTCTAAAGAAAGCCGGCAACCCTCAGTTGAGGGAATTTCTTCATAGACACGTACGAAATGGTGGAGGCATTGCCGGATCTAACGCGCTACGTCTGAAAGTTCCCAGGTACACAGGAAACACGAGTAAATATTGAAAGATATACTTCGCGAAACGTTTGTCAGCGTTATAACGGACGAAACAACTAATGATCGCGGGAAGATGGAACTACACATCCTGTTACGCGTACCATCGAGGTCCAACAAGGACAGTCTGCGAGCATACCTCATCGACGCGGTCAACATGAAGTCAGTTGTGTCAAAGTGGGAGGGGCCATTTTGCGTAGCTTGACAGTTATGGGTATACACCTCAGTCATGTGATGGCCTTCGTGTCCGATGGCGTTGGATATATGACAACATGCTACCGAGATGACATTAGGCCTGTTTGCGATGATTCAGTTTAGATTAGATGTGTTGCCCATTACATCAATTAGATTAGAGAGACTATTCGCAAATTCTTTCAGGAAGTGGACGAATTCGTTGCAAAAGTGGAAACTACTTTTTGTACTTGGGGCAAAAAGAAGCGTGAGTACATGCAGCAGCTAAGTCAGGTGGGCGTGGATAACCCAACCGGCCCATCTTCTGGCTGGAACCTGTCGCATATAACATCAATGTTGTAAGCCGTACAACATGAGTTTGTAGATTTAGCTGGTGTTCGTGAACTGGTGGACATTGTAACCAACGAAATAACACAAAAAGCCTTAAGAAAAAAACTGCGTTGCATTGCGATCGTTGGCAAGAACATCATCTGTCACCTTAAAACTGCCGGATCAGACTCAGGTCCCCCGAAAGATTTATGACGACTTCTCCGATCTATCCATGTCGCTGAAAACTGCGACTGAGGAAAACTGGCTGTAATACTTACAGGCAGATGGAGTCATTTTGATGCGTCCAACAAAATTCAAACTGATACGCAACTCTCCTTATCCCAAGCTGCCATAAGAGCCCAGGAGTTGCTGACATCACAGGTCAGGCGTCTATTATTAACCATTAGAATGTCCAACCCCAACCTGCACATCACATTGTCCAGTGATCCAAGCACCTATGCTGATATTCCAGGCGTGATTAAATCCACAAGTCTGGCAGCCGAATGGTTAATCTATCCTCAAGTGGTGGGAGAACTTCAATGAAAAAATGTGAAGACTCGCTGGCATTCTGGTGCTGAATGCATGATAGAAGTCCCCACACCCGGCAGACATCTCTGGCAAATATCCAGACATTCCGGTAAATTCGGTAGACGCTGAACAGAACTATAGTGCCTAGAAAAATGATGTGTCTGACATGCGTCGCAACCTTATAGATAGTAGCACAAAACACCCTGGTAAGCGTTATTTTAATTCCTCTATTTTTAGTTATGATTGTCGTGTATATAGTAAATGAACGTGCCTTGATTTCTGCTTATTTGCGTTTATGTGGTGAAATCGCGGAATTTAATGTTTACGCCGCCAAAATTTCGCGGAATTTTCGATTTCGATGGCGGAAAAAGTGTTTTACCAACGCGGAAAACTGGGGTCTTTAGGTATACTTAATAGCTTGGAAACCTCAATCCGTTACTTCAGGAGACTAGCCCAATGGTGGCCAACAATGGTAAAAGAGAAAAGCGAATAAAAATGGAACGAAAGAACAGTAACAATACAGGAATGAAGTATGTCTGACGGCTGTCCGATTCAAAGTGTACTTTCATACATGCAGAGCAGGCAATGAGTGGGTGTTCTGAATTGTGTGTTGTTTCGGCTAAATAACTTATAGCCACCGGGTCTAACTTCACCTTGCGCATCAGATTTAAAATCAATATGTATAAATACGATCAGAAATGTAGCACAGTATAGCACGGAAAGCAACGAACACACGCAAGCTGGCTTTCGGAAAAGTTGAGAGCTATACGATCCCAGTGATGTGTAATAAGTGAACGGTAAGAGTAAGGTCAAAACTGTCACGTCCAGCATAAGAATTATGCAACAGATTAACAGTACTAACTAAAGTTTAAATTAATGAGGTGAATATAGCACAGATAACAAAACAAGAGGTGTTTGCAAGCACTCACCGTCGCCAAAAAATGTTGGGCGATAAATGAATACAATCTATTGGCGTCGTGACCAAGATCCGTCGATCGTGCGAGTCGCATTGGGGCAATGGGAGGATGATCACCCGCATCATGTCCCTTGCGAGGAGCAGTCAAGCCGGTGTTTAATAAATCACGAGCCACGTCGCCCCATTCGGGATGACCAGTCTGGTGAGGAGAAAAGAAACGGCAATTCAATCGAACGACGACTGTGTGTTGGTGGCACATGCAATGAAAAAAGAGATGTGATAATGCTGAGACTTTATTGCTCTTTCCGACCGTATGTGCTGATTAAAAGCTGTGCTGTAATGTGTAAAAAAAAATAGGACAGCGGGCCCCGTTTCAAACGCGAATGCGTAATCAGAACGACACTGTGCATGTGTAAAGAGAGATGGAGAAATCAACTGGGATTATTCGGTGGAATACACACGAGCACAAAAATGATACGCAATCGTTCAAATATGGGTAGCGACCAAAAGTAAACGCATAAGTCGGGAATTAAATAAAATGTATTGAAGTGAATGGCTGGGAACATCCACAGTAGACAATAAACATGGTATGAAAAAGAGGCGAACCCCCCCAGCCGCAGCTCGGAAGACGAAGTGAATGACCTGATTCAACGAGACGACACCTATGAAGAAATCAATGAAGCAGGTACTGGTAGTCGACCACCTGACTAGCTTAAGGTATCCGAGGAAAAAACAAGGGTTATATGCTACAAGCATATTTATCAATCGGTTAAAAATAAGGGAAAAAGTCGGCTAATTAGCCTTAGAGTTTATTGGAAAGACTGGTGGATGACACTGTGTCAAGATAAAGGTTGGTGCTGTTAGGAATAGCCCAGTACAGATCGTGACCGTAGAAACATGGGTTCAAGAAAAAGCCTGGATAGCAAAACAGTTGCTGAGAAACGCTGACAGTTGACAGGTTCTTAAAGCCCATGATTAGAAGATCCGACCTGACATTTTGTAGGGTTCGCTGCGGTCCTGTTGATACCAAACTGCATGAGCTCGCCTTGAATATTGACATCTAGCTTTTTACTCTCGAGGAAATTCGGCGTGAACTGTTGCGGTTATAGTTAAACGGAGCGCCAGGGATAACGGTGACACTGCATCATAACTGAAGAGCGTTGGTAACCTACCAGTTACTACGAGTTACTATCAAACGGTTCCTTGGAGAAGAGTGGTCGAATCGGAGTTTGTCGACGTGGTCCTCAGAGTGGTAGGCGAAAATCGTTGAGGTTGTACTTGCATAAGCATAGGAACATCAGACAGCAACAGTTTATTGATTCCTGTAGATGCTGAAATAGCAAGTCAAGCCAACTTCTGCCTCGATAGAGGATAAGCTGGCCATAGTGGTTATCCTTAATGTGAAGTCCTCTCTCGAGTCAGACTATGACGACTATTCATGACGCTCTGCATTCACGAACGGTGTGCCGGATAAACTGAGGTCCGCATAAAATCATACCAGAGGCTGACTAAGTGTTTTGATGCCCGTTTCTCTGCAATAAGCCAGGTAGATCAGGTCTGCTATGTTCCTACTCATCTCTTTAACTTGCTAGTAATACGATCACGAGTGCCACTACCGCATGCGTTACTTCAAGGGTGAAAACGCTGCCAACTGACACAATGCGGACAACAGGTCTCCTCTGTTGTCCGATCCTAACCCTGTATACGGTCTACTGGATAGACTGATTGCGAGCGCTGCATCTAACTGACACCCATTCAAGACCCGAAAGTGTAAGCTGATGAGGAGACAGAGTAGTTGGTGCCCGCAACCACTGTTAACATAGCAGAAGTGAGTGGATCGGTTCGCTTGTTCGAGTAGATGTATTACCACCAGTGATCTACTCACTGAGGCTTTTCGAAGCCCTACTTGAGTGTGGATAATTTCCAGTCAAGGAGAGAGTGTAAAAGGTGACAAAGCGGTCAGTGTCCATCAGAAGCAGAACGAGAGGCATCGCGCAAGCAGAATTCAAGAAGTTGGCCGTCAGAACCAAATCTGACATTTTTGTACAAGATCATCCAGCCCCAAGACCACCTAACATGAACCACTTGATTTGCATACGTGCAGATCGTCCAACAGGATGTAAGGCATCAGGAGTACGCCGGGACGCAGTGCCGATGCTTCGCTGCCGCGCAACCGGTCGCACGTGGGCTAAGGATACTGCGACGGTCGTCTGCCCCCATGCACGCCGGAACCCACGTCGTCAGATTACAAGGCAAGATCGTTACCTTTAGGCTACTGGGCGGTGCGTTTAGCCAATGGGGGGGCGGGCTAAAGCGTTTTAGTTAGGAGTAACAGCGTGATAGAAGTTATGAAAAGATTAGATGGCAGAATTGACCCGAATGGTGATTTCATCATCATCATGCACGTTAGCTAGAGGTGGGAAACACCTCAGCTACTGTGCCGCAATACAAAGAAAAAAAGGAGAGAGAGAAAAAACAATTGGTGCAAGCTGGCTGAGCTACCGGTAACGGATGGGCATCGTTCTGGTAAGCTACCAGCCGGCTGCTGTGCATCCAAAAAAAATTATTATGCAAAATTATATAAGGCTAAGTAATGAGATCGTGCTTGGAGGGGGAGGCTAAGAGGGATGGGGTGGGACAAAGAAACTCACAGCACGAACGCCACTGAGGTCGGCTCCTAGCCATATCAGCAAGTGTGTCCAACCAAACGTGTTCATCGTCTTTCGGACCCCAACCAGGGAGCCGAGATGCTCCAACTGAGGCCAGCTCAGAAGTGAGGGCCTTCATTCCTCTCGACCAAGTCATCGCTTGGCAACCTCTATTCTTCTTTCATCCACACCCACGGCGCGCAAACAACACACGTCGCGGAAGTCGGTGGGCTGGCATGCGTAACACGTGGCCGAGCCATCGGAGCCTGGTGCGGGAAATAACGGTGCTGAGCGGTTCATTTCCATTTCCTGTGCCATAAACAAGGCGTCGAACACGCTCGTTGCTCACGCGGTGTTCCCACCAAATGTGAGCTAAATTACGAAGGCACCGGTGGTCGAACGTAACTGGCCTCTTCAGGTCCGCTGCTTTAAGCGGCCAGGTTTCACAACCGTACAATAGGGTCGAACGTACTGCTGCATTGTACACTCTACCCTTCAGGGTAAGAGTGATGTCACGCCGGCGCCATACGTGGCGAAGGTTAGCAAAAGCGCCCCGAGCTTTTGCTATACGATTCATGAGTTCATCTTCAATCCCACGGGCGCTGATACAACTTCCCAGGTAGTTGAATTTCTGAACGACTTCTAGCTGATCCCCACCAAGGGTCAGCGTAGGAGGCGGTCCAGACCAATCTTGGAGAAACGCCTTGCACTTCGAGGGTGCGAAGCAAAGCCCGAAGTGACGGACAGCTAGTGCTTATCTGTCCAGTGCCGCTTGGCACGTTTGTGAGCTGTCACAGATCAGGGCAATATCATCAGCATACTCTAAATCAAGAAGTCGTTCTCCTGGGGCTAGCTCCACACCTTCTAATCCTTGTGCTGTAAACGCGATTTCCATGACTTCGTCAACAGCGAAGTTGAAGAGGAAAGGTGACAACGGGCATCCTTGTCTCACACCGCTGGAGATATTAAAGGGCGACGGCAACTTGCAGTAAGCCCTCACTCTGCCCGAGCTACGCGCATATAATGCTGGGATAATATTCACATATTTCTCAGGTACACCTTTCCTGAGTAGACAGTCCCGAAGTGCATGTCTATCCACAGAATCGAATGCACTTTTGATATCGAGGAAAACGACAAATATCGAGGAACACAATGTGGTGATTTCACCACAAGATCGATCAGATCAGTGGTGAGGGACTACATCCGACAAGGTGCAATCGCGAATTAAAAGGCACTCTCGTATTTAGTCCATAGCCTATATCAGTTAACCAACCTGTCTGAAGAGCATAAATGATTTCTCAGTTATTTCTCCCACCGCATTGGATATTCCCCTCTCTCTCTCCGTATGTCGTGTAACGCCCTCCGAGAATCAAAAACGAGGGCTGGGCTGCGATCAGAACTTATTTTTATCGGAAGACAGCATATTTATAAGGTAAACTGCACTCCGTTGAGCGATGCCGATTTGGTCTTCCTTAACTGGCTGCCTCTGGCATATTCATCGATCGAGCAAACAAGTCGCTCACGCGATGCTGCTTGACTGGCGGTGGACAATCGAGCATGAGCCTCCTCCTGCCTGTTCCGTCTTAATGCGCAGCCGTAAACCAACAGCTGTCATTACAATGCTCATACCACATCGTATGTTGCTAATTCTTACTACAACAGTGACTCGAAGCTTAGCAACTGCATTAACCGTAATCGGGTGTTCAAACCATGGATAAACCGATGACGATGGGACACGCATGTAAAAGGAAGAATGTTGACGACTCCGCACGATGGGATGTACTGTGGTGTCAGTCGCGAAGTTGAAAATCGGTTGCACATTGGTATTGAATTATGCGTCTAGATTAGGGGGATCCAAAACCGTTGCGAATGATCCAAAAGCATAAAAACATGGAGAAGGCGATTGAGAGATTAATGTGGCTTTTGCGACATCTAATGCGTCCATGCATCAATGACGCGATGGACGATGTAACCGACTAAATTTCCAGTGAATGGATAAGCAGCATATTTCCTGAAAACGCGAGATAAAGTCCATTTGATGGTTTAAACAATATGAATAGCGGGATCACAAGAAATAGATAAATAGTCAGTCTGTTCGAGGCGACTCCTAACGAGCTTCAGTGGTCGACCAGTTCAATGCATCACAAGGACAGAAAGACACAGCCAGAAGAAGTATGGACATGTATGTATGTACGTATGTTTTATTCCTTCGAGTTTACACTGGATTTCGGGGGGTGTGGATGGAGCGGTGAGTGGTACATCGCAACCCCCATGGTCCCTCTGTAAGCGCAGGCGTCTTCTGCCTGTCCCGTGGAGGCCGCAGTGACAGGTATATCAGGAAAGGGATACTTCCAACTATTATCAACAGTCTAACGATTTGAGATAGTCAAAAAGTATAGATACAGCTAAATGTGCCATTGAATTAATCTAACCAGCCCAGATACCGTCTTCTTTTTAGGACCTATTTCCATGCAGGGTAGGCCCTCGAAAGTTTTCGTACGCACGTTCCCATGTGTCGATGTGGTTTTAAATTAAGAAAGCCAACACCGCATTAACCCATCTGTAAGCGTATTGGTACATGAAGATGGAATGAGTATTCAAGCCACCCAGCCTGTTCCACAATTCAACCTTTTTGAGTCAGGCAGTTTTACTACTCGCCAACTGCAGTGTATCCAATATCCCCAATTCAGTCCGGCTACTCGAGATGGTGACGGCTTGCTACAGCGTGTGGAATGGTATGCACACTCTAATACAAACGGCGGAAAAACAGCTAGAATAGCCATCATAAATGGAACGGAGGGAAAGTGAACAAGGTGGATGTCGAAATAATCCACACATAACGGCGGGCGAAACAACATTGCAGAGTATCGCGTGAAGAGGGGGAATAGAAAAGAGGAACAAAAGACAGCAAGCATTGGGGTAATAAGCAGTACCGAAAAATAATGCTGCAAAGTGAAGTAAAAAAGACACTCGAGGAGGAAAAATGGCTGTATGTGCATAACCATTCAGCATAGTTGGAAGCCCCAGAAATCGCCTATGGGCAAATCGGCAATATAAAATATAAATAAATGGCTTATTACGACTTAGTTATGGAATTCCACCACCTGAAGAAGAACTGCAGCGTTGCAGCGCTGTGTGTGCACAGCATGTTGTGGCTGAAGCATATCTGACAGAGTGCGGAAGTGAGTTCACAAATAAGATGGAACCCCGAATCTGTGAAATAATCTCGCACTGGTCGGTCGATAAAGAATGAAACGGAGGGAACAAATGACAATGGCGACGGCCCAAGTGTATAGCAAGGGTCAACAAAATACGGCTGGTGGGCCAGATCCAACCCACGATGTCAATTCATCTGGCTCGTCGACTGTACCCGACTTTGTTTGTTAAAGCGTATGAAACACGTGACGGTATCCAAATAGCATTTGATGCTACAAATCATATTGTCGATCATCTTAAATTGAACACGAGCGTCAGCCAGCTCATGACTGTTACATGCGACACTGTGCTATAAATGACCCCGCAACATTCACCTGTGTATCATGATGTGCTTCCTGTGGCACAATTTTCGATTCACCAGCTGCCTTATTAGCACCTGTTTATTTAACCTTTTACTGACTACTATGAGTGGACGCCGAGTATCGGATTTCCTTTGTCTTTCGTTTTCGTCCCTGCTTGAAAGTCGGCCCGTAGCCTAGAGGTGACGAGCTTGTAATCTAACGGCGCGGGTTCGTATCCGCGTAGGAGTGGACGTCATCGCGGTAAACTCATGCCGCGTGCGACTAGTGGTGGTCGCACGGCAGCGAAGCGCCGTTGCGGCTGACACATTTATTTATCTAATTTGCAAAGTGGTTATGCAGCCGGCGTTAGTCATTTTGTTGGTTATTCGGCCCGCTAGGAAAATAATTTGGCGATCCCTAGTGTAGAGGGTAACCCTTAGTTGGTCGCTCGGCGGCAGATACTTCTAGACGTAGCGTGTCCAACTCCTTAACCAATAAGCACTCACGTGAAGGAACCGAGTAAACCTAGAACAGTAGAATGCCCCTGGCTCTTTCGAGGAAATTGATGTTCAAGGAAGAATTAATAGATTTGTGTAGACCAATTAAGATTGCTTAGACCGCTCGAACGGAAGCAATCCGCAAAAACTGAATTAGAAGTAACCGCGCAGATAGAGTGCAACTGTGCAGTCTGTGTTTAGAGATAGCAAGTCTTAAATTGACGTCACCCCGAATTCGGTCGAACGGCACTCCCGTGAAACGCACAAGCAAATGACGCTAATGTTAGCAGCACATCTGAGGGGAAGAATATATAAATCCGTACTCATTAGCTGTGCTGTGTAATTACTTGTCTATCTAGGTATTCGGGGTTTGAAGTTACTCCTATTGTCCGATTGTCCACTGATGGAACGTACTGGGAGTGCAGGCCGCGATTTGGATGCAGCCAAATTGGTGAGAAATATAAATTTTCTGATTAGCTCATTTAGTTAAAAGGAATTTGCACATTAGAGTCATAACCTAAAGACAAAGAAAGACCCATACAAGTACTACATACCTGATGTCGAACGAGACCACGCAAGTCGAACGTGCTCGGATAACTGGTGGTTTCCGTCCTGGGGTAATTGATGTAACCCGAAGTGTATAATTTTTCCGCCAACGACATTGATGTGTGGGGTCCGATGCCGAGGGCCGAACTGGCGACTCGGAGCATCTCAACCGTATTCAAGCCCAGTGGTCGCGGTTTAACTTTTTCCTTTCTTGTCACTTGGACCACTCTAAAGTGAAAGGTGGATAACACATGTGTTGGTGGTAGCCACTAGAGAATATCAGAATGGTGAAGAGGATGATAGATCACATGGAAAAAGTTGTTGAAGACAATGGAGTGAAAGAGTTAGATATATAACAAGCAGTTCATGATAAGGCAAGTTGTTAAGAATAAAATCTTTTAAATGAATAAATAAAGGTATATTTCCCCGACAATGGGAGGTGAAGTCCAACTGAGCGCTCCAAACAATAATCTTTCGGAATAATTCGGAGGGGATAGACGGAGTGTTAGGTGAGTGGGAATGCCAGGCGTGAGCATGAACTCAACTTCTGGGACAACTGATTCATTCAACAAAGGAAAATATAACAGCCTGTTTGACAAATCGAACGCCTCGCCGGCCTCCATAAACGACGATGTTTTTGGTTATATGCTGTTCATTTACTGACTTTGTTGAACAAGTGACGAAAAGCGCCAGTCAATCAGAAGAACAGTGTAAGCGGGCGACATGTGCGATGTCAAATGAACGAACCCCTCCCATGTTTGTCTGGTGTATCTCGTGGAGTCACCTGAATATCCTGACTGAGCACTTCCATCACATAGCACAGCTTCTGTTTCTGATCATATGCAGACGACTGTAGCCAGGCAACTAGGAGAGCGAGAAGAACCAGAAAAACCCGTGTGGTAACGATTAGGTCAAAAATTGAAGTTCGATATCGAAAGACTGTAATTCCTGTAGTATGCGTAGTAGGAGATCGGTCTTTGACTGCCGCATTTGCAGAGAACATTCGCACTTTTCGGGTAGACCGGACAGCATAAAATATTCGATTGACTGGTCGAACGACAATAAAACAGTGCGACCCACTAAGACACACGTGAACACGGTAACCAGTATCGTGTTATCGCGGTAACAGGTACAATGCGGTGTATAAAACCAGATCGTCAACAAAATGGGAGGCCAAAAGTCATCGATACGGATAGCGCTAGCCGGGTCGGGTTTTCTCACTCTGTTCCCAGGCTTGTTTGTTGCGGGTATTGCTTTGTGCATAACAGTGTCTTGGTGCCCAAATTTTATTGAATTTAATTTATTTTATGATCCTGAACTTGTTCATCGTGCGCAAGTGCCATATCTGTATTTTGTTGTGGTTTGCGAATTGCGCCCTTATCGTTCGATCAATTCACTATTTTGTCATCATATTTGCTAAACCATTAGCAATGATGAAACAAACTTTCCGTGGCAAATTTGTCGACCATGGAGCTAATATTGTGAAATGCTTTGTGTCATGCACAGATGCATATTTCGTACATTGGTCTATTCATTAACCAACTTAAAATCCCTCGTGGCATAAGTTTGTTCATACATTTTTTAAGAAGTGCCAAAGTAAAATGCAGTCAGAAAAAGTCGAAACATCTCCCAAGCCCGCAAGAAGGGTAAACGCTCACAGCGATGAGTTCAGTGTGCACATCTGAACAAGCAGAAACCCAGCCACTCCTATGTTCGAGCAAGTCCACTTACCCGTCAACTGCAAATTCTCTGGAACAACGCCCATTAGTTACCGGAAACACATATGATGTGTCCGTGTTGTGTTCTCCGGGTACTAACGTTTCAGAGTGCGATCGCTTGTCATTGATGAAGGCCATTGGAAAGCCCAACTGCAGAAAGTGATAGCAACCAGAGACGTTACAACCTCTTAATATTCTATGCACCTGAGCCAAATGATGATAATTCCCTGGCTCGATGACAAAGATTGAGTTTTTCAGTCTAATCGATAAGCTACTCGACATTGGTGAACATGGGTTAAGGGTGAAGCAAATAATCCATCTTAAAAATAGAAAGATGGTGACAGGGCTGGGCCTATGCGAATCATTTTTGATGATGAAACTAACTGAGACTGATACTATCCCGTCTCTGGGCTCTAAGAGGTTTGAGAATCCATATTCGCACCGATATGGATCCGGTAAACGAGGAAAAAGTTAGGTCCGCCATCACTAAACTAAAGCAGCGTACCAATAGTGGGAAACAAATGTCCGCATTATACATTTTCGGGTACTTTCCAGAGGGTTGCAGAATCCAGATCGACAGGTCGATGACGCTTTATGCGTGTTGGTGCGCAGTTTCCATCAATGTTTGCAGTGGAACGAACAAACGTGACGAGCTGTCACTCCGTTGCTTCTCAGTGGCCGGACTGGCATAGACCTGGTTGAATCCCGAGATAGCTCCCCAGAAAGTCTGGCTAAATGGCTATTCGTGCTTAGGGTGCGACAGAATATTAAACGACCAAGATGGCGCTGCTATACATTTGGTCTTGCTTGTATGGGAGACTCGTAAGCACCTACTGAGGCGAAGATGGCCTAGCGAGCAACTGTGGCATTCGATCCACCAAAAAGCAGTAAACAGTTCGTCGGTGTTGTGATGGAGTATGCAATCAGAGGGACGAGGCAGATTGCCGAAAACAAGCACAGATGACTGGGCGTTTACGCTGATTAATTATTGTTTGGATAGGTTGGAGTGGGTTTGACCACAGCAAAGGCAGAGCCTCATGAATGTAGAAGCAACGTAAGTTATGGAAACGGCCTGGTTATATAGATCGAGGATTATACAGGTTAGTTATGCTGTCCTTTGCAATGAAATTGCTTTGTTGAACAAACCGTTTGTCCCTGAACGATAGAGTTCTGAAATAGATGTGGCTTATCGAAGTCGATTTTTGGAATGCTTGCCACATGTACGAAATCACGTGTGTAGTTTCTGCTTTCTGCTTACGAGTGCTTGTAAATCACTTCAGATATTCTGGTTTAAGGTTCAGGTTGTCTCCGAGTTAGTGAAATGGAGGCAGAGTGCTGAGATATTTGAGACTGAGGAAGCAAAACACCTATGCCAGCCGACCCGCATTACATGACATTCAGCTCTGTCATGCCTTGACCGAATGTTCACCAGTTGCGAACATCTTGTGCAAGATGTTCAGGTCCTCGAGCCAGTAGCAGCGGGTGGTCTTAGCCTGCCCAAAGGTGCCGCTGGCGTACCTGCTGCATCTGGTGCCATCCTAAAACTCCTAAAAGGCTGAGTTGGATGATATGATTAGAGCCGCTAGTCAAGTGGGTTAGACGCCGCCGTCGGATCCATCTGCTGAAGCCCGTTGGTATACTTCTATTTATAACATTTTATCATCTTTCCTGCTACTAGCATACGCCAACTGTACAGTAAAACCAACAATGCCAGCCATGTACTACTTACACACAACAAATAAACCGCCCATTCCGTTCATCTCGGCCCACATGTACGGCTGCTGAACTGAAAACCGCAAGCGAATAGGAATTTTTAGCCTCTCCAATGCGGTGTACTTCTGCATGACATCGACCGACTGTTCAACTGGTTTGTAAAGGTCGATCTGACGATCAAGCCAGTCAAGTAGTTATTCATAGGCCTGGAGAACGGTGGTGATGGGCGTACATATACTCGAGCAGACGAACCGCTACATCGCACACCTCCCATGAAAGATCTCGGAGTACTCTCACATTGCACTTTGAAGTCCATAGATAACACGAACAACCTATATGGAAACGGACTGTGCATGCTTTGGGCGCTCAAATGCAGCTTCTGCATGCGCTCTGAAGTGATAACAACTCGTCGCTCATCTCCCAGCATAAGACAAATGCTAGAGTACGGTTTACCCGCCTATTGTCCGATCACTCCATGATCAGATGCAGAGACCGGAACGGGTTCAGCATGTAGCTACCAGGTTCATCCCATCCTCAGCACCATCAATACATGTTGGGTGATGGTGAGAAACACATCTCAGCCAGCGTGCAACAAGACAAAAAGTCAAGATACTGCAAAGTATAGACAATATAAAAGGTTCAAAAAACAAGTAATATAATGTTAAATATCATTTTATGGGGTTGCAATGAGATGGTGATTGTAAGGAAAAATCTAAAGGGGACCGGGTGAAGAGAAAAACTCACAAGACATGTCACTGGGGCCGGCTCTTCGCCTTATCAGCAAGTGCGTCAAACCAGGCGAGTGCATCGTGCTTAGGACCGCAGTCCGGATGCACCAATCGATGCCACAACTCCAACTTGCGAATGGCCGTAGTCGCAGGGATGCATCATACTACAGAGATAACGTGAATTTTATTGGCGATGTGAATGCTCAAGTGGATCGCTCATCAAATTATGAACAACATCTCGGAGACCGTTTCGGTGTCCGTGCACGCTGATCGATCGATTTCTTCAACGGTGAGCCGAGCACAATCTTCACCTCAGCGGCGCTGCTTTCCAGCACAAACGTTCACATTGTGTCACCTGATGCCCACCGAATCCCTCAATGACCTGGACCAAAACTGACCACATTGTCATCAGCTACAGATGGTGTACATCAGTTCAAGACTTTCGGTCAATTTGGAGAATGTGCTTGGATTCTGACTATGCCCTAGTGAGCGCACGCTTCGCGCCCACGCTTCCCGCCTATCTTCCGACTTTATTTGCAATTTAAACTGGAAGTCCGCAGTTCAACAGTACCATAACGAACTGTCCCACCAATTGTCAGTGATGAATGAGGCTGGTGACCCGAACGTGGACTGTGATCGCCTCAAGTGTGCCACGAAGTATGACACCTGCTGCGTATACAAGTTGAGTCATCGTAACTGTGAGTGGATCTCAGTGGCATCGAACAGTTTGATCGGACCATGGAAACAGGTTCCGATAGGCAGAGTTTCAACGTGTCCATAACTAACAGAAACGACGTCCAACAAGGAGCCTTCGAATCGATCGGGAACGTTAATGAGTCGCAAGGGTCCGTGAGATGGAGAAAACCAGTACTACCGGGACACACGTGTGCCAGTTAAGCTCATCTGGAACACGAGTAAAAAGAAACCCTCAGTAAAATAATGTGAGAAAGATGGACAATTGAACCATGTTCAGCCGCGTCGATTAGCACGTAGGGTATAAAATTTTGAAGAGCAGTTTAACAGGCCTTCTGTGTCACTGTCATTTGCTGAATCGCAAGAGGCAACGTGCGAAGTAGACGTTACAACTCCCACTATCCATCATGTCTTTCGCTCATGCGCAACTCCATAGTTTCTAAACCCGTTAACACCGCATACCCGAGAGAATACAGACGGATAGCCGTTGGATTAGTTAGCTTAGATTTGCTACACAGAGTATTCTAAATGTTCTACCCACTTCAGAAAGCCAAGTTAAAAGTGGAGAATGGAGCGATGTCTTGTCAGCATATAGAGAGTGCATTTTGTAGCACGCATAAGATTTATTAATGATAAGATAGCGTATCTCAGCCGTGCTACACAAAGTAATCTCCAAGTGCGGACAAGATAGCTCCTCATTCACCAATTTTAGCTTTCTGTAGAGGGTTGGATGTTCAGAACACTGCTGCGCGTTGTAGACCATACAGTGAACAGTACAACTGGAAACAAGAGTGTGTAGAGGTATTTTTAAAGTTTCCAAGACATTTACTAAGGTTTCGCACAACAAGATTATACATGCGGACATCCGCTATGGAGTGCCCCCGCCACTAGTTCGTTATCTCACTCGACTGTACACTAACTCTGATGTATTGCTAGTCGGAACAAAAACAATGTGCTGTCGAACTAAGAGAGAAGCCGACCGGTTATCATCTCTGCTCTTTATCACGGTAATGTACCCGGTTTTCAGCTACATCCGATCAAGAAAAGGATTCTGATTTAACGACAAGTATGCAAGTGAGTTGACCAGTACTGACAACTTGGTGCTGTTTACCAGTGGTGAATTAGAGATGCAATTAGGATTTGACCTGGTCAGCATGAAGTTGAATACACCCAAGTGCCGTGCTATTTATAAATAAGTAAAGGCGTTCCATGCACCTTACTGTTCTCCCTAGGGCTCACAACTTTGCTGATGGCATAATTGTTTCTTTTTGGTGGATGAGATTAGGTGTCATGGTTTACTTGGAAGGGCATATGTACAGTGAAGAACACCTGGACGCTTGGTTTCATGTTGGCTGAGGTAACCGCTTCACCGTTGAAACCACATAAATGGATGGGAATGCTGATGCATGAGGCAATACGAAAGCTGCCTTTCGAGTGGGCCGTTGGGAATGCACACTGAAACACTGTAGGCAAGGCTTCGCCTCCCAAACGATACAACCACAGTCCGTTTGTTTGCCACAATAGATAGGATATTTGGTGCTCCATCTTTTGTTGCTCGGGTCCCTTTCGATCAAGGGAATAAGTACATATGTTTGATGAGTTTCCCAGATGAGTGGATCATGGAGTTGGTTCACACCGAATCGTCTGCAGCCACTGTTCGTAGCGCCAACCTGACAGTCTCGAGTACCTGAAGCCTGGTTTCAGTCGTTGATGAGGTTGTCAGGTTACCGCTCACTGCACCCGGAGCTTCACGACAACGTAAACAATGTATGACACAAACATCTGAGGAAGCATGTCCGCGGCTTTATATGAGGACTATATAGTTATGAGATGCGACCGAGCTAGCCGTGGTGCTCCAAGAATGTCAGCCAATACGAACTGCAAGTGCGTCCGCGGGTACAACGAACCTTTTGACAAATAATGCCCGGTGCACTCGTCACAACGAAACTATGATTCGGTTCGATCAACATATGCGGCTAAGTGACTTTCTCGCCCTCAATGAGTCTAAATAAGCTTTATGTATCCGGATGGGTACGGTACAATATCAGAAAACGACATCGCCAAAATTACAGCTTTATAAATGGATAATGCACTGATGTCATTGGAACAAAAGGATCCGCATCCTTGGGCACCAAGCACAAATTGATAAACAGAATACTCCGGTTATTTACATCGGAGAGAGTAGTTTTGCGAAGGCATTTCTTCAGAATTGGTTTCAACTAGACTAAGATTTTGCGGGCAAAAGCAACAAATCGCGATTAGTGCGATATATTTCGACTTTGTCGAGTGAGACGGTCTTGGTGACATTGGAAGCACTTCGGATTAAAGGATGTCAAAATATTCCCTTAACAATCACATATTCGTAGTACATAAAGTGAGAAAGGATGATCGGCAACGGCCGATTTAAATGCCCTGCCGGTTTGAGTCAATTGTCCCTAGGGATTCGGAGTACCGATTAAGGGTCAGCGTCTAACTGTGACCGAAGTGGCAGTCGCTCTGTGGGACAGGTTGAACTGTGCAAGGAACAAGAAGCTTGCCACGTATGACAAAGATTGTTTCAATTCCTTTATTCGAAAAGCTACGGTGGATTGCCATGAAGTGTGTGCGGGGACTTTCAAGTCCGGCACTTGTCTCTGGTCTTCTCGAAACGCGAGCATCATTTCAAGAATTCCGCAACGTGCTTGACCTGTAGTTCACAAAATATTTCCGATTTATGTTTTATGCCTATTCTGGGCTTCATAGCATGTTATGATGTGCATATGAGAAGACACTAACGTGCGTCAATCTATGCTCTATCTTGCAGACGCCCTATGCAGAGGTGCGGGGAACCAACTTCCGGATTGACATTTGTTGTCGATGGAGTTGCAATAGTGTAACTGTGCCCTCAGTGCAGGTTGCAGGACGAGTGTTTGTTTGACGACTTCTGTGTTAATGACCTTTCGCTGTACTTGGTGGATAGTGAAAAAATGAAGCATTCTACTGTACAGCAAATATTAAGATGCGTGCCCGCTCTTCTTAGCAAAATCAAATGGGTACACCACCAAGGTTCACCCTGTAATTGGGTGCCAGCGATTTCTAGACTACAGAGGAAGAGTGCTAACTGGGTGTTTGACCAGTGTGATCGCCGCTTATCTATCCGTGCTATGTATTACTGTCCGATGCATACATGTGCTAGCCTGTTTGCTGAGGATATATATTTAAATGGTTTTTGGCAAAGAATCATCTGGTGCCTCACTCGAATGCTTGCTAAATCTCAGCCGCTCACGTTGGGTTATTCATGTCCTCTGTGTGTGTGTGTGTGTGTTGGCCGATCTCCCCGGTATGCATCATATGTCGCCTACGGACCAAGTTTGGCGAGAGCACGAGATGACCGGTTGATGAGGCGGCATATAGGCGTGGAGAAACTGACCGAAAGATTTGGTCAGGCCGATGCGCGGATAGAGCCTTGAGATAGTTCACACTAGTGGTTGTAGACTGCATCAGATCTGATGCAGCCGCGAAATCCATAGCTATCCTGATCTGCATTTGGTCTCCTACATATAATTTCCAAATTGTATCCCATCCTGATTAATTAAACGCACTTCCTCCTTGATCTCATATTCTCTGTAATCTACTTGCATTTAACCTCATTTTTTACTTCTGACATGTAATGTGGTCCTAGAGACGTGAGTAGTGGTAACTGGATCTAGTAAACTTGTGCTGACTGAAAATCAACTACCGGATTCCTTGGTGATAGTGTCGAGCTACGGAAAAAGGGGTACTTGTGTTCAAGGAGAGCTAATAAAGATGGTGTTTCTTGGCAGTTTCCCGAAACTTAGCTCTGCATTGATAAGTCGCAAAGTGGGGAAAAAGAGCATGACAGCGAAATAGTGCAACAGAGAGAACCAAAGTCTGGGGTGGGAAGATAAAAGTTGTAAGCACCAAACATGGAGATCAAATGCAGACAAAAATGCAGCAAAAAAACATTACCATGTTCAAACAACCGATCGTTATTCATGAGACTAAAAAAACATGTAGAGCTGAACAAAGTAGAGAGAGCGTGCAGTACGTGCTTTCTCACAGTCGACAGAAAGAAAAATGAAACAGCAGCGTTAAAAGCACGTGATCAAACTCGTGGATCAGCGATTATCAAAGTAAACATGTAAAGAGAGAAGATGAAAGGGTATGAGGGAAAGAAATATCATACCGAGCTGAGGTTGCGGATTTCACCCTGGTGAGGAACACCATAGCTGCCTCTTTGTCAAATAATCTGTCTCTGTTCCAAACGAGGTCGAGGGTCGCACCGTTCCTAATCGCCAGCTATTGATAAAGAAGGGAAACCGAAAATGATACGTCCACATTCAATGTAAAACAAGCTCAGCAGAAACGTATACATATAAAATGACACCGGTCGTTCCCTAATTTGTACTTCGGTGGTAGCTGATGTAGGCACAATGTGGTAACTGTGGCCAACGTTTTTCAAAGATGGGCGCTGGGAAGCTAGACGAGGTGAGTGCAATGGAAAAGAATAGCTCAGATGTGCACTGGCCGGTTTCAATGTTTTAGGAACAGAAATAGTTAACAGACCTAAAAGTTGCTCTTAGAGATATCGAAAGGGTATCCGTGAATCCCGCAATAATACCACTGGAAAGACCCATTAAAAAGAGTTCAGCTACACTCAATCGAGTACAAAGGCCAAAAAGTTCCAAAAACCATACAAGAAGTCAGTCTCAAGGCAGTAACAAGAAAACAACGGCCGAAACTCGAATTGTAGAGCAAGCAGGTTGACTGTAAGTTACTGAGCAACCTAACACCATCGGGTAGGTTTTGGGGTAGGGTGAAGTTCCATAACTTGCGTAGTGATAGTGGGTCTATGAGAGTAGCTATCACGCCAAATCAAAACAAAAAATAAGTTATTTTCGTAAAAAGTGCTTTGAGTAAACTGTAGCATAGATAGGGAAAAGGCAATTTTTGTAAAAGACTGTCAGAATATCAGAGAAAATAGTGCAAGCATTAGAGTGCGATGATGCTCTCGTGCAAAACTTATAAGATGCTGTCCGCTCGACTGCAATAAATATAGCATTGGCTTTCGGGAAACTAGAAAAGAAGCGGAAGTTAAAGAGAGGAAAACACTACTTAAGTAGACAAGCACACACGAAACGATTTGAAACTAACATTTGCTTTGATGCGCCAGAAGGATTCCGGCTTGAAAGATTGTATCCGATCATGGCGTTGTACACAAAATCCCAGGGTAGGCGTTTGACAGGGGCCATAGGATACCAAATTGCTGTTTAGATTCCCATACCTACCCTAGATCAAAAAAGAGAAAAAACATTGCGGCCATGAGTAATTCATAAACAATGGAAGCAATCGCAGAGGTGCAACCCAAAATGAAAAGGTAGGAAAAAGGACAGTTCGCAAACAACATTAGTGAAGACAGCAAGCATTTGAAAGAGGTAAGCAGTCTGTAATTCCTTGAGAGGACAAGTGTGAAAGACAACTGATTCAATCTGCTACAAAAAAGTCAGTCGAGTTAAGCAACAATCAGGGAGAGGAACATGAACGAAGATGCATACTGCTCGGGAAGCGGTTGCTCCCCTATCTATCTATGGGACATGGGAGACGCATACCTTATCTTGCAAGTATACATTCGGAGTATGGATTCGGTTATGTTTTTTAGCCAAAACATTTTCTCGAATGTTGGCACATTCTACTCGACAGCCCAATGGGAGTGGAAGTCCCGATGTATGCGGTGACTCGAATGGTGCTTGGCCTTAACATAGTGCAATGGTTTAGGTGTCTCAACAATCCACTGAACTATACCAGATGGTGCTTTTCGCACCCCTAGTGTTGCTCACACCAGATGGGCCAACGTCTAGAGGCCAGACAAACTCAGTTTCATAGACCTACAGGTTGGTAGCTAAAATGCTGTCCATTATCAAAGTTACGCTACCTTTCACTTAGATTTTTGAAGCAAAAGCTTTGGTCCCGAACTCCAGTCATTCTCCCATATGTGTCTTGGAAACATGGTAGTATCATGTAAACGCAACACAATGACAAATACTTTAAATGACTCCCTGATTTTGATAGTAACCAATGGTGACCTATCTGCGGCATTGCGCGAGGCGGATAGGAGTGAGGATGCTGCTGCTCAGGCCTTACCGTCTTATTATCCCGACTCTGTTTAATGTCATCCAACTGGATTGCATTGTGGTATAAAAGCGGACTTGTTTCTCACATCTAGTTGACGTGCAAGAGGACGACTTGTCACACTGATACACACGCCCAACCTAATGTGAGAAGACACGAACGTGACACGCAATGTGGACACAGACAAAATCACAGTAATGAAGAAATAAAGTGGTCAAAAATACACGAGAACTGACATTTGTTGCAGTCCGCAAGCAAACCTACAAGCACTAGCCAGTGTTGAAAAGAATTGCACCATGCTGAGAACCAGAATCCCTCGTGTACTACCGGTGATCTTGACTGCATGCGCTAAACAACATTCAAGACAGGACGAGGTATACGGCGTTCTGTGTGGTTCTTGAGTACGAGGCGCTGAATTTGATCACCGCAGAGACAGTGTACCGCCAAGATAATAGTAATGGCCCATAAATGTATGCGCCATGCAAGTGCCAGGTAGCGCACTCCTCACTGGAAATGTGGTATACATTAGGGCGCAATTCGCAATTGAAACATTACACACGTCTGTGATAACCAACACACTGGCCGTTTCCTCGAAGACAGGGGCCACTGCAGCTGGGATACCCAGAATTCACTGTACTGCGTCGTGATATTCGATATACAAAACCTTGTCGTCCACAGAATCCAAATAAAAATCCTTACCTAGAGCAAGCAATAAACACTCAGATTAAGGTCTCAACATTTAAAACTTTGTGATGGAGTCGAGGACATGAGAAAATGAGATGATCTCGGCAATCTGTATAGGAAAAACAATCGACGATTTGACGTAGTTTGATGTGGCCTAAAATGTTCAATTACGGTGCATGTACAATATCGTCAGAACGCCTTTCTGGCCAAGTAAACTACAAACGAAGTCACCGACTGATTTTAAGGAGATTTTAATAGTGATTGACACCGCTACGGTTGACCGATTATCCCTAAGACACTGATCAGACAAGTGTAAGGCAATAAAAATAAGATCGAGATGGCACGAAGTTCGATGTCGAAGGAGATACACAACTCCGTAGACAATAAACACACCCGTTACAAACACTAAGTGAGTGCGAAAGGAGAGTAACTAGTGCTGATTGACGAAAGAGGCGTTAACCTTTCATTACTCGCTGTGTTTAATTCACACCCAGAGTACGGCGACCAATGCCCGAAAACACATCTGCCACCTGATCGGTGCAATGGCGCAGGACGGACTGATGACCTGTTTCATCATAAGAGGTAGTCAAAAGAGCGAAAGATATGTGTAGTAATTAAGGTAACAGTTGATGTCAACAGCGAATTGCTATAAAATACTGGGGCTTGTTTTCCAAGAACCTTGTTGCTTAGAGCATCTCACGTGACTCGCACTCCATTCCACAGTATGTAATTTGATTAAGAGCATTTAGAGAAAAACAATGAAATGATGATATCCAAACATGTTTGACTGTGAGGATGGTGCGTATATACGGAACGAGTAAACAGGCGGCATCAAAGACGTGGTCTGTGTGGCACACAATCATTGTCAACCAACAAAGCCGTCGCAACGAGATTGGACCTCAACGTGGTGCGACGGTTTGCGTACCTGATTGATCCATTGAGCTATACTGCGTGATGCGTCCGGGCACCTTCAGAGCTACTCCTACCAGGTTGGTCAGCGGTGAGAGGTCAGACAAACACAGTCTCCTGGTCTTCCAGGTTGGGGGGGGGGGTTGAAATGAGATGGCGTCCATTTCTGTAAAACTAAATCATTGCTACCTCGCCGCTGCCTTGCGGACAGGATTTTGAGGTTTTGGATGAGAACCCTAATCCTCCTCCTGTCTAGGTCTGGGCGCCCTGACAGTATCTCAGCTCACATACAACCATGACTTTTCCTTCAAACGTAAACTTCATCCTGCATCAGCCGTCGCGCAGATTATCAAGGGTCGCCTTATCTACTGCATACAGCAGGGCGGATAAGCGAAAACATGCTACTGCTGGCGCCTCCTTTCTTCTCCACCTTTTTCTCTTACTCCCATCCCGACCCCCATTACTAACCTTCCTTCTATAATTACCAGCTTAGTTGACAGCAACCGAAGTGCCACTGGAGTAGAACCATCTGCAGCCACCATCCCACTGCACCTATCGGACGCCTAGCGGCAACAGCTCTTTATAAGGCCATGCTATCCCGTTCCCATAGCGACATTCAACGTTCGCACTCTAAGACAAACAGGTCAACAGGCTGCACTCGCATGCACCTTGGACACACTGCGTATTGGTGTGTGTCGTGCGTCCGAAACTAGGATCAATGACCCTAACGGGGTTATTGAATTAACTGCACCCGGCTTATCCTCTCGTTATTGGTTGCACGCATCCGGAGACGCCGATGCAGCACTCACGGGTCAAGCTGGTGTAGGTATCATTCTCAGCTCCAAGGCTGAGCCATCGTTGGTTGATTGGATTCCGGTGAACAGCCGTTTATGTGCAGCCCGTTTGACGACATCAGCTAAGGTGAATTCACGAAGTAGTACAAAACGCTGTTTGTTTGTGATTTCCGCTTATGCTCCCACCGACTGCAGTTCTAATGCTGTCAAGGACACATTCTATCACGAACTGAACGCGCTACTACGCAGTGCTACTAGTTCAGATATTATAGTACTTGCAGGGGATATGAACGCACAAGTAGGGCGTCTGAGCTCTTCAGAAGCTCAGCTGGGTGGTAATTATGGGCTTAACTCCGAACGGACTGACAACGGTGAGCGTCTGCTGCAACTGTGTGCGGAGCACCAGTTGTTTCTTAGTAGCACTGCTTTTAGACACAGTGGGCGCCGAAGTACCTGCACCTGGACAGCGACGGACCCAAATTGACCACACAGCCATAAGTTACAGGCGGGGTGGTTCCATCCGGGATTGCCGTTCATACTGGAGTCCCTGTGTCGACTCTGATCATGTCGTGGTACGCTGTCGTTTCTCCATGAACTTTACCGGGAGGCGGATTAATCATCCCCTACGATTGGCAACGGAGAAATTGTCTCAGTCCTCGGTCAGGCAAGCCTATCAAGAAGCACTGCGTACCGAACTTCCGCTATCTTGTCCTAATGACACTGAGCTTCAGTGGAATAGGATCTCGGCAGCCATGAACGACGCAGCAGCATCTGTTTGTGGCACTATCCATCGTCACCGCACCAGTCACTGGATATCCGAGAGGTCAGTGAAGCTGTTGGAATCTAGAAGATACCTCCCGGCTGGCTCTGAACACAATGTGGCCAGACGGGCTATTAGGCGTGAACTAAAGCAGAGCCTACGTGCTGACAAGGATGCCTGGTGGACCAGTAGGGCTCAAGAAATGGAGGAGGTAGGAGCAGTAGGCAATTACCGCAAGTTCTTTCAGCTAATCCGCACCACTGGTCCCAGAAAACTAGGCGTCAGTGAGACAATCAGAGACAGCACGGGTGCGCTGATACACAATAAGCAGCGCCGTATGGCTCGTTGTGCGGAACACTTTCAAGATCAGTTCCGCTGGCCTTCTGCTCCCGGACCTCTTCCTACTCAGGTGATGCAGGACGATCCACGGACGGTTAGTTTAGAGCCTCCGTCAGAGGCAGAGGTCCGAAACGCGATCACAGCCCATAATCGTTTTCGTGCCGCTGACCTGGATTCTCTCCCACCTGCACTATTTAAGGATGGAGGTGAGGTCCTCTGCAAAGCACTGACCTCCCTATCCGAACGTATCTGGAAGGAAGTGTGTCCCGACTAATTGGAACGAATCGATTATAGTAGCAATATACAGGAAGGGCAGTCGCACAGACTGTTCTAACCACAGGGGTATTAGCCTCACGCCAGTTGTTACAAAACTACTAACCTCGATTCTCATTCGTCGCCTCACGGTGGAACGGGAATCTCGGATTAGGGAGGAGCAGGCAGGTTTCCGCCCAGGGCGTGGCTGTATAGACAATATATTCACTTCGCGGCAAGTGCTAGAGCAGCGCCACGCATACCGCAGACAGGCAATAGCTGTGTTCCTCGATTTCAAGAGTGCGTTCGATTCAGCCGATCGATTCATCCTGTTCGCAATACTTGCGCACAAGGTTGTTCCCACGAAATATTTGAACATCTTTCGTGCTCTATACTCGAACACTACAGGCCGCGTCAGGGTC